AAAAAAAAAAAAAAAAAAAAAAAAAAATACAAAAGAGGAATAGACGCACGTACGACGATGCACGCTCTCGAAAACGTTCTACTCGCTGAACTACTTTCTTTTATGTTTGTTTCTTTACTTTTTTTTTTCTTACATTAGTTTTGTAAGGGTGTCCTTAGTGATCTCGTTTACTCGTGTTATATATACTACTCGTGTTATATCGTAAACGCACTCGCTCTTCACGTCACGTTTTTATCATCCCGTTCACTTCATAACACACGTAACATACACGTACACGTACCGCGTGCGATTCTCGTGCGATTCTCGTGCGATACACGTATGTGTGATGTGTTTTATCCCCTTTATATATATTTCATCCGTATATATATACACACACACACACACACACACACATATACATACCCACATTTATGATAAAGCTAAGTCTCTGTTTGTATATTTATCTGTCTGTTTGTTTGAAACGGTAACGCGATTGAGAACTGCTGAACGAAGTCTGTCTGGAAATCTTTAACGAGTAGATACGATATATATATACACATATATATCCTTCCACGGTTACATCATTACCGATAATAATCTCTATGGAACGACTACACCGGGTTATCAGTTATCGATCCTTGTTTAATTCCTCGTCGCGTTTTTAGCTAAGATTGGACTAGGCGATGACACGACGAGCTCCAACCGGGATGTTATACCCACCGCCGCACAGTGCTCAAAACAGCCGAAAACGTGGCCAAAATCCATCTTTTCATACTTTTTTTTAAATCATTATGATATTATTTTTTGTTAGTTTTAAGTTTTACTAAACTTCCCTAACGTTTTAGTCCAAAAGAACCCCATTTACGAAAGCTATAAGGGCACAAAGTTCATGAAAATAGGAAATCTCTTTATGATTTTCACCAGCCATAATCAGTGTCACAATTGTAATTCTGTTCACCGGGTTGTTTGTATCTAACACAACCAGATCTTTTCATTGTTATTTAGTAATATCATTTGTGCTTCTAAAAATACCATTAGTTATTTAATTGTCATTACAATTAATAGAAATAAACATTTCTTAAATACATCAAAATAGCATTATTGTATAAGATATAAATCTAATGAAATATTGCGATTCAAAGTCCCCGTCGTGAGTCGGCGCAATGAAGCAAACAGAATTTAAAACTACATTATATATAAAAAGAAATAAGAAAAAGTTTATCTGCGCTAAACTGCGACGGACTACTTTAATTACTGCATGAAGTTAACAGTTCGCTCCGAAACTGAAAATCGATATATATATATATATATATTCTGGATGTAATCTTTTAATATTTTTCATTCTTAGTCGAAGTTTATTTGAATATTATTGCTATAATAATCTTCTGAATGACTTATTTAGTAATAATTTATGAAATATTTATTAAACATATTTAATTTAATTTTTAATAATATTTTTAATAATTTTTAATTTTTAATAATGTTTTTCTAGTATAGTAAAAAATATTTTTTGCGGCCTAAAAGATCTATAACAAGAAAAGTAAGTTTTTCTAATTTCATGTCGCGAGATTTTTATCTGTCTGGTTTTTATAATTATGTCCTTTTCGATAAATTGGAACGGTTGACTCGACTTACGGTTTATTCGCTCACGACGCGACGGTCGTTCGCGTCTCCCGACGGAGACGAGGCGATCTGCGGGAGAAGAGAGAACTCGGGGATCCTTATTTTTCTTATACGCACCTAAAAACACACTCAAAGTGCAAAAAGATGTGCAAAATCCGACCGTGGTAATCTCCACGTGGTGCACATCGGGTAACGCTAATGCTATTACCGGCGGTAATAGCTTTTAATATACACTTAGAATTAATATTATACTAATTAATATTATACTAATTAATACTGTATTATATTAATTAAATTGCATAAGAATCATAAACAACTAAATTGAAGTTATAAACCACACGGAAAAAAAAGATTTGGTTGAATTAACCAAATATCTAGACATGTTTGGTTAAATAACCAAACATGTCTGGTTAGTCTACCAAAAATCTTGTTAACTTAAACAGAATTCGAGTTACTTCAATCGAAATTTCTGGATCGTTCATATTCGACCAGATATTTGGTTAATTCAACTCTTTTCCGTGCATGATTTAGAGTGATCTAAATAAGTACATAATTTTGACCACGTTTTCGGCTGTTTTGATTACTGTGCACCGTGTGTATTCGTATGTTCATAACGTGTCATCGCGTACCTACCCGTCTTCTCCTCTCCGTGTCGCGCGAATTTCTCACCTCAGCCTGTGTCTCTGTGCAAACGAGTTATAAAGTAGACATTTATCCCACACGGACCGATCTCGAGCGGACGGCTTTCTCTCTCTCTCTCTCTCTCTCTTGAGTACAAATGTCATCGAATCAGTGTAGATGTCCCGTCATTCCTCTCGCCATTTGCACGTGATTATGTCTGCTAGAACGCGATCCTCGTGGAAAGCCGAGTTAGGAGGCAGCTACGTGATTCGACAGAAGAGAAGATAAAAAAACGCGGTATCTTTAGCTCAGACATTTTTCCACGTCTTGATTGTGGACACAGAAATGAGAGAGAAACCTCTTTGTGGGATATGAAGTTCATTGCTGCGAAATAAAATTTACTCCCGCGAAGTAAAGCTTATTCCTGTGGAGAGACGGACTCTGCGCAAATAAATTTTCCAGCATTAATTTTTTTTCTCAATATAAATGAAGCAATCAGTGCGAAACATAACCGGTACGGGGCAAGCGTAGCGAAGCGATTTAATTTCAAGAGGTAGAAGGAATATATTCAGTGCCGAAAGATGAGAGGTCACGACAAGGGTCATTAAGTTTCCATCGGGAGAGAAGCTGGAATAGGAATTTCCTCGAGAATAGACTATTGCTCGGAATTTCCTATATGATTCGAGGAATCCGGGGAATTTGTTTGGGATCCGCAGGGCGCCTTTGTCGAGCGTAACACGGACGACAGCGAATAAGCAACGGCGAAAAGGCGGGCGCTTTTCTATTTTATTTTCCTCAAAGGGCCGCCGGTAAATACGAAATATATAGACGTGCGTTTTATTTCTTTCTCTCTCTCTCTCTCTCTCTCTCTCTCTCTTGACGAAAATAAAGGCGCAAATATTAGTAAATCCATCGCGCTCACATATGGCGACGCGTCCGCCGTCGGGAACGTCGCCACGCCGATCGTTGATCTGTCCAGGTAGTCGTCGGCTCGAATTTAATCGTCCGCGACCTCGTTTCGCCGCGAGAGGAAATTCTCCGCGAGAGCGATTCTCCGTGTAAGGCAATTTGGCCCAGGCGATGAATTCCGCGCCGTTGACTTTCCCATCTTGACGTCGCGCTTATACCTAGCGGCCCGAGGCAAGCCCGACCTCGTGGCCGATCGAATTCCTCCACTTCTCCTACCTCTCGTCATTTTTATTGCGGTAGACGTGCCGCTCTCGCGAGGAAGATCGGTATCGGTAATTATTTTCGTCGTTAATGCGATTCCCCGCGTCGATATCCCGTGGTCGAGACTGTACGAGACCAGTCACCGGCTTTTGAAACCAGAGTCCTTTGCCGTAAGGTGGAAATATCGACGTTTGGACACTAATCATGTTGGCACCCAACCCTGCACGGAAAAGAAAAAATATGGTGCCGAAAACATTTAGTTGTAAGCGACACACTGAGAGAAAAGATCTGATAAAAAATTAACAAATATTTCCGAATAAAATGCCGATAAATTTTTCAGGATCTCCGAGATTAGGATATCCGATTAAATTTAATCGAATACTTTCGATGATAATGACATTTCGTCGGATAAACCGATCAAAAAATTATGAACCAATATTTCTCATCGGATATTTCGGATACAAAAATTTGATTTATGCGCGAATCGACCATACTGTTTCTTCGGCGTGAGTATTCTTATTGTTTTGGTCTCTGAATACGAATATTTAAACTTTCAATATAGGGAGAACATATATACTTACATTGAGAAAGAATATGTACATATATCTTGCGTTAAAAGTTTAAATTTTCGCATTGAAAAGCCAAAACAGCAAGAATATCCAGAGTTAGGTAGCAGTGTTCAGACATCGGTACTGTCGCCTCAAAGAATAAGAGAAGAGTCCGGGATTTGGTGGTTCTTTGGTGAGTCGAGGGGAAGTGAGCCATGTCCTGTCGACGATTCTCCGCGGCGAAGACCACACACGCGCCTATATTCAGTCACGGCTGTTACACTTCGCGATCAGAAGCGTGTAATCTCGATCACGATGGGGAGAGTCGGTCGGTGAAAGACGCAGGTAGCGGGAGGAAAGTGATAGACGACGAAAAAGTAATAAGCGAGAGGAGAAAAGAGAGAACGGTGCCAGCTGCGAATTTTGATTGCAGCGAAGCAACCGAGCGCGAAGCTACAATCGGCCAAGTCAACCGAGGATGAGAACAGCGAAGGTAAGACGAACGATTGCGGAGCAACGCCCAAAATCTCTCTCATTCCGGGTTTGTTTTCGCTCACGTAACTCACCCCGGCGGAGAAACAACCCGGCCCCCGCTCTGCTCTGCCCGTACATATTAACCCGCCATTAGTTTGCTGGCTGACGAGAAAGAGCTTGTAGCTGAGTGTCAACTCCTTCACTGGGCGCAATATCGCAACGCTTTCAGTAGAATAGAACTCCAAGTCCAGCTTGTTCGAATCACTGTCGATACATGCGTCTCACTCCTACCTGCAGTCAAGTGCATTCTAAACGCGCGTGCAATGACGATTTGCGAAATGGCTTGTGCGAAATGGCTTCCCTTGACATATTTCAAAACGTACCATTCGACACTCAGTTGAAAAACTGTCTTGCGAGAATCAAGGAATCAAGTGCTACCACCCGGAAAAGTATCCGGACATTTTTGTTTTGGTCTTTATAAATTTCCAATGTGTGTGTGTGTGTGTGTGTGTGTGTGTGTGTAAAACATATGTATATATATATGTTATATTGAAAGTTTAAATATGTTAGTGTTTAAAGACCAAAACAATAAGAAAGTCTAGATACGTGTGCGGCAATTGGCGTAACTTAAACAGACTCTGAAGAAAACAACAAACAAACAATGCCAACAAGACCTAGCGTAAATTTTGGTGCGAAATTGTGTATAAGTTACGTATTCTATAATATTATACATAAGATAAATCAAGATCAAGATATTTATTATTACAGACTTTTTAGCTTTTCAGTCTAGTTCAAGGAAAGACGCGTCTACAATAATATCTCAGTCTTGGTTTATTATGAAATGATATATCAAGTATGATATGTATACAATCTCGCCCCAAGATCTGTGCTAGCTTTTACTTGCTCTGTTTGTTTGTTGTTTCAATTAGTGTACTCTTCCATCTTGTTCAAGAGTAAATTCTCTCCCTCACTGGACGTCGGCTGCGTTTCGAAGTGCGTGGTAAAAAATCATTCGAAACCGTTTCGCAAACGAGTATACATTTTTTATGTATATTACACATTTGCTGACATTTCCAAGTATATATATATATATATATATATATATATATATATATATATATAAAATCGAGGACATGTAGTCGCGCAGACATCATTAGTCTTGCGATAGTTTTATTGGCTGCTCAGAGGATGGAAACAGTGAAAGGGTTGATTAAAAGCGTTCGGTTGTTGCGAGAGTTCTCTCGGGCTTTGCGTAATTACATATCCTTGGAAAGAGGAGGAAAGGAGAGAAGAAGGAAAAAGAAGAAAAAGCAGTCGTGAGAGTTCGAGGAGGTGAAAGGATATATTTGAACTCTTCCGCGCAACGAACGATCTAAATATTTGAGGACTCCGAGAACACAAAGTTCCTTTCAATTCCGCGTGGAAGTTTCATCCCTCTTAACGTAAAAACCGACGGAGAGAACTCTTCGGGACAATGCGATTCGCGATTGATTGCTAGTAGATCATCCCTTACTGACAAATCGTACGCCTCTCTGCAGATCGCCCTCTTTCTCCTCCCCCTCCCCCTTCTGCCTCTGCCCTCCACACATACATACACACACAAACACACATACATACCACACTTGTTTTCGTTTCTTTCTCCTTTTGTCTCGACGCTCGCATTTGCATAGAACGCGCGATGGCTTCCGGCGTCGATGTCCTCTCGCGCATTCGCAGGAATAGAGAGCCGCGTCTATATACGTCTCCTTCTTCGACTCCGTGGATAAATCATCGCCGTCGACGGCCGCTCGCGGAATCGACCGGTGTTTGTTACGTGCGCGCGACCGGAAAAAAGTCAACGTTCGCGAAAAATCGCGCATCATTGGCGCTCGTAGCGATTCTCACCGCGGCATGCACGCCGCTCGAGTGCATTCGGCCGCGGGACCGCTCGAGTGCTGCTGGCGGACCCTCGCAAATCATCGGCGCTATCTCGTTCTCGCATCTGCGTCGAAATATCTCTATCTTCTAACCGACTTGTCCGATACACAGGATGGCGCACGATATATACATTTATATATATATATATATATGTATATATGTATGTATATATATACATATACACACGTAAATATATATATATATATATATATATATATATATATATATATGTATATATATGTGTGTGTGTGTGATATACGGTGCTGTCTCGCATATTTACCTGCACGAAAGTTACCGAGCGCTTGGCCCATAGATACATGTATCCTCCCCTTGGACTTCAGGCCGATTGTAGTAGCGATTAATCGTTGCAATTGAATCATGCATACGAATAGGATATACGACGGCAATATGGCGAGTCGCTGAATATCTGTAATATCATACCACTTTCGGCATTCAGTAACCGATAGCAGGCCCGATATCGAGATTATTCGTGGGAACGGAAGCGCGCGAAACTGACCGTCCCGCAAATGTGTTGTACGATACAAGTGCGATTATATCTGTGACACATTTTGCTGCATCGCGAACTTGTCTCTCCCTCTCTCTCTCTCTCTCTCTCTTTCTCTCTCTCTCGATAGTAGGATAGTGAAATATACGATAATATTGTCATGTTTATTAAATAAGTAAACGCGAAAGCATAATATTTCTTTTGGAAGATGAATGCAGAATTGTCGCACTCGCCTACATCGCATTTAAACATAGACTTACAGGTCGAGTAACGGAAAAAAAAGCCTAAGCAAGGATTTATTTGAACTGACTCCAAGAGCATCATGCGAAATATTAAAGAGAATTAATAATATCAGATATTTATCAACTAATAATTACGTGACGCTATTGAAGAATAATGACGATTTATTCGGTGCTCGTGTAGCGAAAAAGTGATCCGATCGCGGGGAGATAAATGCGCAGCGCGGTACGTAACTAGCTTGTCGCAATTGCCCTAATTAGCTCTACTCCCAGTTCATTCCTCGGATGCATGATTCAATTAGATCGCCGCAAAGAAACTTCACCGCTTCTTCTGCCCGAATTCTTCCAAGTATCGCCCCCAGCTCGTGATTAGTCGACGATTAATCGTCACCGCAATCGGAGGGAGGTCAGTGCGCGATCGGAAATCTTCATCGCGCACCCGTCCGCCCGTCAGAATTCTTTTTGGGAAATGCGAATTTTCCTCTTTTCTTCCTTTCTATCAACAATTCTATCCTTTACAATATCTTTTACGTCGGTCGAGCGACGAGGCCCTCGAAAATTTACGATTCGTTCCGAGACGTCACGGCTCAAGAGCAAAAATACGGAATTTGTCAGTCAATGTCGCGAGTCGCGACCCACTTCACCGAGAGCGACGATCGCATATGCTATTCTCAAGGCGAATGTTATACCTGGCCACGCTGTTCGACACGCTTCCCCGACAGCGAGCGTCGATTTTCCGAATGTGTATTCCGCAGAGTGTATTCCGCAGAGTGGAAAGATCCAACACGGAAAAAAAAGGTTTGAATTAACCAAATATCTGGTCGAATATGAACGATGCAGAAATTCCGATTGAAGTAATCCGAATTCTGTTTAAGTCAACCAAAAATCTTGTTAACTTAAACAGAATTCAGGTTACTTCAATCGAAATTTCTGGATCGTTCATATTCGACCAGATATTTGATTAATTCAACCAAACCTTTTTTTCCGTGAAGATAATGGTCTTAATTATGGGTCATTTAAAATTAGAGTAGGCTTTCAGTCATTTACACAAATTCGAAGATCGAACATTAAAACTGTTGACACCAGTATAGACAACTGACATCATAGTTGCACAACAAAATTATTAGATTTTGAATATTATAAATTGTTTATTGTAAATCGTTAAAAAAATAATTAAAAATATTTATGTTTCAAATTATGGATCGGCAAATATTACATGCTCGTATAACGGTACCTAATATACGATACCTTAATTAGATACCTTAATTAGAATTCTCTTTTAATTAGGTATACGATACCTAATTTTATATTAATAACGTCCATATTGACGTTTAGTCTATATAGAATATTGATATACGTGGTTATGCGAAAGGTGCGTGGCCTCAGGCCGGTTCTACATTAGTTGCAAATCGCAAGATCGTAAGAAAATTTACCAATCACGGTCGATCGTTCTTTTTACAACCAAAGAAGAATTGACTGTGATTGGTAAATTTTCTTGCGACCTTGAGACTCTAACTAATGTAGAACGACTCTAATACAGAGATAGCGTGAGTTTGGCTTTATCTTTCTTGCAGTATTTCATCGTACTCATACACTGTCCTCCTCTTCAGCTGTACACACTGAGAGAAAAATTACCTTAAAATCAACAAATATTTCTTTGGTGGCTGCCATTAACATATTTATTTAAATCTAAATTCTTTTTATTTAAATCAAATATTGTTTATCTGATTTAAGTAAATAATATTTGGTTTAAATAAAGAGAATTTAGATTTAAATAAATATGTTAATGGCATCCATCAAAGAAATATTTGTTGATTTTAAGGTAATTTTTCCCTCAGTGCACATCTATCCCTTTATCTTCCTTCTATCCGATCTCTTCACTGCTCTCTTATTTCTTCTTTATCCTCCTTCTTCTCCCAATTTTCTTCCATATCTTGTTAGTTTCATTACTCCACTTCCTATTGACTCCAAGTGAACTGAAGTGATTCATCTACCTTTTTCTTCGCTTCCTATATATTCCCTTTAACTCACATCACCGAGAAGTTTTCCATATTCTATAACCTTCCTCTTATTCTTACACCTCATCGTTTTTACTTGCACAGCACCTATCCCACCAATCCTTGTGTCATCCTTCTTCCGTATATCTCTATTTTATTTCCTTACCCTTATCTAACAACCAAAACTTTTCTCTTCATTTCTTGTATCCTCTTCTTTCTCAATTTCTTATGTATTTCTGTCTTCTATTACTATCTATTACATATTTCCTTTGTATTATCATAATAATTTCAGCTTACCTGCATTACTTACATTATACTAATGTGCTCGTTTCGAATATTAAGTTGTGGCGTCATTGTGATA